AGTCAGAGAAATGCAAATCAAAACCACCCTAAGATACCATCTTACTCCAGGAAGATTGGCAGCCATTGTGAAGTCAAACAATAACAAGTGCTGGTGAGGATGTGGGGAAAAGGGTACACTTGTTCATTGTTGGTGGGACTGCAAATTGGTGCAGCCAATTTGGAAAGCAGAATGGAGATTTCTTGGAAAGCTGGGAATGGAACCACCATTTGACYCAGCTATTCCCCTTCTCGGTCTATTCCCTAAAGACCTAAAAAGAGCATGCTACAGGGACACTGCTACATCGATGTTCATAGCCACACAATTCACAATAGCAAGACTGTGGAACCAACCTAGATGCCCTTCAATAGATGAATGGATAAAAAAAAGTGTGGCATTTATACACAATGGAGTATTACTCTGCATTAAAAAATGACAAAATCATCGAATTTGGAGGGAAATGGATGGCATTAGAGCAGATGATGCTAAGTGAAGCTAGTCAATCCCTAAAAAACAAATGCCAAATGTCTTCTTTGATATAAGGAGAGTAACTAAGAACAGTGTAGGGAGGAAGAGCATGAGAAGAAGATTAACATTAAACAGGGATGAGAGGTGGGAGAGAAAGGGAGAGAGAAGGGAAAATGCATGGAAATGGAAGGAGACCCTCAGGGTTATACAAAATTACATACAAGAGAAAGTGAGGGGAAAGAAAAAAATAATACAAGGGGGAGAAATGAATTACAGTAGAGGGGGTAGAGAGAGAAGAGGGGAGGGGAGGGGAGATAGTAGAGGATAGGAAAGGCCACAGAATACAACAGACACTAGTATGGCAATATGTAAATCAATGGAAGTGTAACTGATGTGATTCTCCAATCTGTATACGGGGTAAAAATGGGAGTTCATAACCCACTTGAATCAAAGTGTGAAATATGATATATCAAGAACTATGTAATGTTTTGAACAACCAACAATAAAAAAAAAAAGAGAAGAGAGAACCTACAGAATGGGAGAAATCTTTTGCTAGCTACACTTCAAACAGAGGATTAATATCCAGAATATATCAAATCTCAGAAAACTTAACACCAATAAAACAAATAACCCAATTAAGGCAAATGAATTAAACAGACACTTCTTAAAAGAAGTACAAATGGCCAACAAATATATGAAAAAATGTTCAACATCATTAGCAATCAGGTAAATGCAAATCAACACTACTGAGAATTCATCTCACTCTAATTAGATTGGCAGTCATCAAGAATACAAATAATAATAAATGCTGGAAAAGATGTAAAGAAAAAGGGACAGTTTTACATTTTGGTGGGATCGTACTCTAGTACAACCACTGTGGAAATCAGTGTGGAGGTTTCCTTAGAAGAAGGAACCACCATAGGACTCATCTATTTTACTCCTTAGAAGTCATCCTAAAGAATTAAAGTCATCATGCTATAGTTACATAAGCATACCCATGTTTATAGCAGCACAATTCACAATTGTGGAATTCACAGATAATTCTAAACTATGGAACCAGCTTCGGTATCCACTAATGCACAAATGGATAAAGAAAATATGGTGTATGTATACAATGGAGTTTTATTCAGCCATTAAAAAAATGAAACGATGTCATTTGCAGGAAAATGGATGGAACTAGAGACCATTATGTTGAACAAAATAAGCCTAACTCAGAAAGCAAGGGTCATATGTGGAAGCTAGAGAGGGAAAAAGAAAAATGTGGAAATCTCATGAAAATCAAAGGGAGATCAGTAGAGAAAAGGAATCAGAGGTGGGAGGAGAGGGGAAGGGGAAGCGCTGGGGGGTGATACTGGCCAAATGATATTGCTATATTGTGTACATGTACAAATATGCAATAATACCCCCCCCCCCCCAAAAAAAGAGAGAGATTGAGAGCACTGACTCCTTTTATTCAGAAGAAGCTATTCAAATGAGGCAAGGGGTCAGGTTTCAGGGGGCTGAGTCTATCTTCATGATGTCCACTGTCAGCAGGTTGACTGACATCTGGGTAGGCCACACCCAAGGGCACAATAAGAGAAGGGGACACACACAAGGCACTTCCATGGAAGATTCTACCCTAAACAGGGCAAAGGGTTATATTACAAAGGAACAGGTGAGCATTGCTTCACCCATGGGGCTGTAGCAAGACACACCTATGCACGAGGCACCCTCCCTCGAACCCAAGAAGGGTGGGGAAAGCTCTGCCACATTTCTGTGACTGAGCGCCTCAGCACCCAGCCGCCCGGGGAGTGTGACTCTTTCATGTGTGAGGTTGATCTCCTACAATGGAGTATAGTGGAAGTGATGCTATGTGAATTCTGAGATTAGGTTATAAAAGTCAATATGGCTTCCACATTATTCTCTTAGGACTGTCTTTCTTGGGATGCTATATTGTGGAATATAGTTGTCAGGCTGTGGGAAAGCCAAGCAGATACATGGAGAGGCCACATGTAGATATTTTAGCTGACAGCTCCAGCTAAGTTCCCAGATAACAGGAGACATCTACTTCCAACCTGTGAGTGAACAGCTTTTAGATTTCAGATTCAGCCAGTGATTTTGAATTACCCTAGTTGATAGCATGTGGAGTTGTTCAAGCTGCTAAATTTGTCATGGTTTGTTATTCAGTAGTAAATGACCAGACACATATAAATAATACCATTATAACTATATAAATGATACTACTATAGACAATTAACATGTCTTTAAATCATATCCAACCTCTAACATTACATGTCAATCTTAACTTCTCTTGACTCATGATTGTAATGAGTGAAAAGTTCATAGACGACATAGCTGTAAGAATCATGACACATTGTCCTTGGCTCTACTTGTTCTTGAGGCAAACCTTTCTCACATCTGAGAATCATGGTGAGCTCAGTTCATTAGGTTGTTGATACCACTAACTCTATATCCTAACACCAAAATAGGGACTGTAAAGAATTTAGAGGTGTCTTTTCAAAATGAAAATATAGTTTTTTGCTTTCTTCATTTTTTTTTGTTTTCCCACACCTATATTCCAATTGTTTTGAGTAGGTGCCAGAGGGTGAAGGTAGGTGTTTTTAGACTATTACCAAACAACTCTATTTGCACACAGTCTTCTCCAGCCTTTCCTTAAGGAGTGTGCTGAATGTTAATGAATTACTATTATAATTTGTGCTTTATGATTACAGTATAAGGGGTTTCATTTGAAAAACATGTTTAGCCTCACAGAACTAATTTTAACTACTGGAAATGGCATTTTTTTAATGGAGTATAATTAATGTAATTATTAATTTCCCTCTTCTTTTTGGTCTCTGTAAAGTTTAATGTAGCTGTTTACATGAAGAATTACCATATGCAGGCATTGTGAAAATCCAAAGATATATCTAACATAGATTTCTGCCCTCTAAAGGTCAATAAATAAGAAGGGTGACCAGTGAGAGTAAAATAGTCTAACTATAGCAGGATCATCCTTGGGGCAACCAAAAAAGAACTAATTTAAATCACTGCTTAAGGGTTATTGTTCTTGGAGCTGATCTTGTCATTCACTATGTCAAAGTCCTCTACCATGTACTTCATGCTGTACAAAAGAAACCAGTTGCCATTAAGTCAAACTATGCAAAATCTTTCTTTTCTTGTCTCATTTCTCCTTTTCTTTTTTCTAGATCCATTCTCCTATTTGGTTTCTCTTTTATATTCTTAATTCACTTGTTTATCCCAGTTTCCCAGCCTTAGCATCAGCCCACAGGAAGGTGCTTCCTCCCAACTCTTCATTGCCAGAATCCACTACGCTTGGATTATACTGTGTTATGTTTTAGAAAAGGGATCCAATAAAAGAATCTAGGAAACCACGCACTGGGTTCCTATGTTCCATATTTCTTAAATACTTCAGCTACACTTAAGGACTGACAGAGAAGCCAGGAGACTGGGATCCCTGCAAAGGTGGCAGAGACGAGTAATTAAGGGCTTGCAGGCAGACCAAGCTGACAAGCTCCAGGATAGTAACGGTAGCAATAAATGAAGAGAGGTCCAGGAGGAGTAGGGAGCGTGTCCCAGCCGCAGACACCAAATCCCGCGCCTCCTACACTTCCCGTAAGGAAGTCACGCTCCGCGGGGCCAAGATGGCGTCACCTCCCTCGGCAGCGTGAGGGGCGGAGCCGAGCATCACGTGACCGTCCCGGCCGGCAGCGCGCCCCGGGTTACCCCAGGCACGCGCAGGTAGCCGGGCGGCCGAGGGGGCGGTGCCACTGCCCCTCAAGGGGCGTCCACCCGCTTTCCTTCGGTGTCGCTAAGCTCTGTCCCAGGGGCTTCGGGCCCGAGTGGGGCCGGGAAAGGGGGTGTCCGGCCGTGCAGAGGCAAAGAGGGGTTACGGAACGGGGTCCCTAGGCGGGAGGTCTGAGACCCCAGCACGGGTCTGGATCGGAGGGGACTGCCGGGAACAACTGGCAGCCAGCCAGCCAGCCGCGCAGGGTCAGGCTGTTTAGGAGACTCAGGGCATTCCAAATAGGCCTGGGCGCCCCCCGGGTGTCGGGGTTCTGAGCCGACGGGGTCAGCTCCGACCACACGACTTGGCCATTTCGTGGGTTTCACATCGTCATCCAGCCTCGAAGCCAGCAGGATTGAAAAATTGCTTTAGCCAAATGTTCTTTTCCCTCTGAGGAGGGAGGCAGAGACCGTCGGTCCAAGGGGACTAGAGTGGGATACCCTGGCTCTCAGAGGGTGGAGGGAGCAGAGGTTGAAGCGGGCGGCAGGATTGGAGAGCACCCTTCTTGAGCATCAAATGCCCCCTTCTCTGTTTTCATCTCTGCTGAGTGGGCTTGGCCGCGCTGATCCCCCTGGAGGAGGGACAGACGACGTTTGGCGGGCTCTGACCCTGCAGCCTTCATGTGGCTGCTGACAGGGACCCAGGAGGGAACAGACATGGGGCGCGGCCTCGCCTCTCTCCCACCCCGCCTCCCTGGTGATGGGGTTGACTACGTGGAGACGTGAGGGGACCCGCCGGCTGCCCCGGCTCTCCAGGACTCCATCAGACACCCACGCTGGGCTCCGAGGAAGGCTGGCGGCGAGCGGAACCGGAGCCCCAGCCTCGCCATGGGGCATAACGCGAGCTGGATCTCCCGGAACGCCAGCGAGCCGCGCAACACGTCGGGCGCCGAGGCGGCGGGCGCGAACCGCAGCGCGCTCGGGGAGTTCGGTGAGGCGCAGCTGTACCGCCAGTTCACCACCACTGTGCAGGTCGTCATCTTCATAGGCTCGCTGCTCGGTAAGCCACCTGCGGGGCCGCCTCCGGCAGGGCTTCCCCGAGGGCGCAGGCTCTGGGAGCTCCGATCCGCCGTAACCAGAGCCGCGTGGGTTGCAAGTGCCCGGTCAAGTGCGATAGTTGAAGGAGGTCTAAGAATCCTGTAGTTACTGCAGTGAAGTTAAGCTGGAGTGGTCGACCCCAACCCTTAAGCTGGAAGCAGAACAGTTCCAATAGGTCTTTCTCTTGGCTGAGGTTGGTGCCTGGTCTGGGCAGAGGTCATCCTCCTTGCGGAATGCTTCGGGGTGGGCAAAGGGCTGCGCACATCATACTTTACCTCCTGGGTGCCAGGGAGCAGGGGTGGCTCCAACACTTGTTTACAAATAAGAACTAAGATTCTGTGGGATTTTGTTGCTGATGAAGGAATGTTACTCTCTTTTAAAAATGTATTTCACGCTACTACTATTCCCTATATAAAATATTATTTTTGTGCATATTTTATGGCTTGCCTCTAAGCAACCCTGTGAAGTTAAACTTTATGTTGCCTTCAGCTATTTTGAAAATTCTCAAGTAAAACAAAACCCACCTATTTCTCTACTTATATTTTGTTCGAGGTACAAAACAAAGATAACCCTAACCCTAACCTTAACCAAACCAAAACAAAAAGCCCCAAACCAACCGCAAGAGATTTCTTTCCTTGTTCAGGGAAGAAAAGATCAACTGAAGTGAGGGGCTAGTAAAAACTTATGTCCACTAGTAAGAATTACCTGTACTTCTCACTAGTCTTAAATGAGACTACTCTTTAGAGCTACTCTTTAAATGATGAATAATATAATTAATATTCATTTCAGTTGAGGTTTGCCCAACAATGCACACTATTTGTAAATATGTGTAAATTCTCTGATGTGGCATTTGGAAGGGTGAGAAGAGATCGTTTATGATTATATCTGATGTGTGCAAGAGTAGTGTTAAAGTTTCAAAGTAAGGATAGGTTTCTTTTCCCAGAACTTGTGGATTTTCACGGAAACTAAGATAACTGACATTAAAAAGACCATATTTGGAAGAATTTTAAGTGTTTGATATTTCCCTTCATATTTTTTCTAATTGTCATCATTCCATTACAGTCCATTCTTTTGTAATATTGGTTTTCCCCTTTTTTTCATGAGTGCATTGTTAGACATTTCTGTGACTATATGTAGATCGATATGTGTGTTTTAAGATGTTTTTATGAGTGAAGTTCACATTAACAAAAGCTTGTGTTCCAAAGACTTTCAACATTCATTTATCAAACACTTAGTAACCCTCTAATAGATACTAGGCATGACACATGGAGTTAAATTTCAATATTGTCACACTTACAGTGTAGATTACTGGGGAGGCTGGAGAAAGGGCTGTAAATTTTATTTTTGCAGGTTTTCTCCTGCAGAAATAAAATGTATGGCCGTGTGTGTGTGTGTGTGTGTGTGTGTGTGTGTGTGTTAATTTTCCTCATTGGTAACGTGGAAAAAAGATGGTGTTGGGAGACATTTTTTAATGATTCAACTAAAAAAAATTTGAGTACTATTGAAATAGAAGACAGAGCATGTGTGTAAAAGACAGCAAACAATGGACATTTAATAAGTTACTTCTGCTTCCCATGTCCTTTCCATTTTTTAGCTTGCATTGGATTCAGGAATTCTTAGGTAAATATGATCTTATTTCAGCTCTTTTCCACATAGCACTTCTGAGTGACATGCAAAAACTTCTTTCATGGATCTCTTAAAAGAGGAGACTTAATTTTCTCTTGATATGCCTCCCTTGACCTAGGAAGACATATTTTTCCCCTTTCACATTATTTGGGTCTGCCTAAGAAGAAGTCCATTTGCTCCTTTCTATTTTCAGAAAGTATAAATATAGATAGTATTTTTGATTTTCTTGAAAGCTTAACTGAATTGTAATATTTCCTGTGTATTTGTTATTTACTGGTATTTTTGATTCATTGTTCTCCAAAGAGCTGATCCCTTCAAATATATCTGTGTACTTTCATATTCTCCTGGTAATGCCATTTGAGGCTTAGAGCTTACTTCCTAAGCCATGTGCAGTCAGCTGCAGGGCAAGTAAACTTGGGAAGCTTAGTTTGAAAGCCCCCAAATAGAGAAGAATAATAGATTAGGAATGGAGAAAGGTAAAATTGTGGGAGGATGGAATAATATCTAGAATAAATAACTGAGTTAGTCTACCTATTTCTTCTGTCCCCAAACATAAGCCAATGAGTTTCTCCTTAATTTTTTCTGTTAAACAAATTCAAACATACTTCTCATATTCTCTAAATAGATTTCTTTTTATTAGGCTTTTTAGAAGCCCATTATTATGTGAAAATAATTCTTTTGTACTATTTATGTCTTGCAGCTCTTTTTGGAAACTGTTTTAGTGCCCTGTAATAGGAAGACTCCCTAACAAATTGGAATAACTGTAATATTCCAACCATTGGGGACATTATTTGCTGTGTTGAAAATGAACTCAAGAGTTATATATGTTATTATTCAAATAATATACCTTTTGGGGATTTGTGTAAACTAATGTTCCTCAGATTTCTTTATGAAACGTTATGGGATATCTTCAGATATGTAGAGGATCTTGAAAGAGAGTTAATTTAGATTCTCTTTTGGCAAATAGATGGCCCACACTATTTTTAGTCATCAACAGTGTGAAATCAAAAACTCAATAAGATTTGGAGTCACCATTTCTATTAAATACTATGGATTGAACTCCATAGGGTTGACCTTTTTTTCCCCTCACTCTACATGGATTCTCAGTTCAAGTGAGAGTGGGCTCCTCTTTGGTACTTTGACTTTAAAAAAGTCAGCAGTTATGACCTAGCTTATTACCTCTAACCTACTCCTTCACAGATTACTTGTCGTCTGTGCCTATCTCATTGTAGGCATAGGATATATTTTTAAATAAATGAATTTTTTGTTAATTAAAGAAAATTATCCTTGTGGACAACAGCCAGCATTTCTTTATACTGCACCAAAATTTATTTTAAAATATTTTAAAATAGAGAAATCAGCTTTCCCTCCTCCTGCCAAACATCATATATGTGGTTCTTGTTTTTAAGCTGTATCCACTTTCCCTACTATTGTAGACTAAATATTTGCAAACCCCAGATTCATATGTTGAAGCTCTAAACCCAGTGCAACAGATGGTATTAAGAGGTGAGGCTGGGGCTGGGGTTATGGCTCAGTGGTGGAGTTCTTGCCTCAAAAGTGTGAGGCACTGGGTTCGATCCCAGCATCAATAAAAACAAAGGCATTGAGTCCATACACAACTAAAAAAAATATTAAAAAAAAGAAAGGTGAGGCCTTTGGTAGTTAGTCAAGTTTAGATAAAATCATGAGGGTGGTGTCCTCATGATGGAACTAGTTGCAGAGAGCTTGCTTGTTTTATCTTCCTAACCTGAGAGGACATAGCAAGAAGACTGCTGCCTATAAGTGATGAAGAGGGTCCTCTCCACAACTTGTTCCTGCTGGTATCCGATCTGGTACTTCTTAGCTTCCAGAAATGTTAGAAATAAATGTTGTTTAAGCCATTTCTATTATGATATTTTGTCATAGCATCCTGAGCACACTAATACACTTAGAGGTATATAGTGAGCCAGCATGAAATAAATGACTCCAAGTATTGTCTAATTTATTTGGGACTTGATTCCATGTGGTGGTTATTAAAGTATTCATTTCAGAGGGAAGATGGGGGTGCTGGGGATGTAACTCAGTAGTAGAGTACTTTTTTAGCATGTAAGAGGCCTTGGGTTTGGTCCCCAGCACAGTTAAAAAACAAACAAACAAATAAGAAAAAGGAAAGATAGGGGACTGAGTTGATGAATCTGCTTAATAGGTGATATGGACCATTTTTAAATGAAGAATAAATTTTATTAATAACATTTTATTAATATTAATTTTATTAATAACAATAATAACATTTTTCCTGAAATTTTACTCAGAGCTTGTGATACAGAATTTAATTTTGTAAGAGTAATGTTTTATCTTGGTGTTGTTTAGTTTTTATTTGTTCTTTTTAGATATACATGACAGGAGAGTGTATTTTTTTATACATACATTGTTATACATGTATAACTAAATCTAGTTAGGACCCCATTCCTATGGTTAAACATGATGTGCAATTACACTGGTTATATATTCATATATGTACATAGGAAAGTTATGTCATTCTACTGTCTTTCCTATTCCTAATCCCCTCTTCCCTTCATTCCCCTTTGTCTAATACAACAAATTCTATTCCTCCTCTCTCCCGGGCTTATTGTGTATCAGCATGTCAGAATCCACATATCAGAGAGAACATTTGGCCTTTAGTTTTGGGGGATTGGCTTGTTTTATTTAGCCTGATAGTCTCCAGTTCCATCCATTTACCAGCAAGTGCCATAATTTCATTCTTTTTTTTTTATGGCTGAGTAAATAAACACCATTTTTGCTTATGTTTACTCATAGTCTTCCAGCAAATTATGAGGCACCAGCAATGATCATGATACTTGATTGATAGAGGAATGTACCTTTGATACTAATTGAAATTAACCACATACTGGCTGAATAATTGTTGGAATTACTCACTTAAATGCTTAATAGAAAATGTGTTAATATTAGTTTGTACTTGTAATTCATAATTACAAAGAATGATTTTTAGTTATCCATAATTATAGCCAATAGTATTGCAACACCAAAGTCTTACTTCTACCTGCTATTTCTTCTGGCATACCTACAAACCTACTAGACAACATCAAGAATAAAGGATCCTAAATTAAGGAGTCAGGAAATAGTAGGGTAGGTGAACCTAATATTATTGCCTCACTTTGTTTTTGATTTCCATATGATGGATATATTCCCAGCCCTTTCTTTTATAATAGGCAGAGAAAATCAATCTGACCTCCATCTGAATGAAATTCTGGTTGCTAACCATATGCTTTTCCTTTCTTGGCCTTTGTATGCATATCTTTTAACTTTCCAATTCTTGGAATTTAAATTTTTTAAAAA